GCACATCAGTAATCTTTTATGTGATTTATTTTCATTTTCAAGCAAATCAGTAACTATTTTTCTTATATTTATTCTTTTGTGATGAATGGTTTGAAAAACCGACAAGTTGAAGATTGAGACACTTATGCAGCATATGGGAATCTTTATTCCCATATGCTGCATAAGTGTCTCAATCTTCATTTATTCTTTGTTTTCTCTTTCTGTATTGGAACTTGTAAACTTTTCTCAACATATTTTATAGACTTTTCATGTTGTCGTCTTCAACTTTTCCAAACACTGGTGGTGGTTCAGAGTGGTCAGGAGAGTTTCCCAGGAAATATCTGAGAGTTATTTATATTGTTCCCAGTCAGTTCTCTAAGATAAATGTTCTCAATATCGCTTCTCGTCGACTATTTCTGAAGTTTTTGTTCAGTACTTCTATGACGGTGTGATCAGAATGTGTGTTTGGAACTGTTATGTCTTTGATTAGTTCCTCATTGTTCGTAAAGATCAACTCTAGCATATTTTCATTCCTAGTTGCTTATGTTATAGGTTCTGTTATCTATTGCATGTGTTTATTTGGCTAACATGCTTCCTGAACTACAGTATTTTCACTACTATGGTCTCGTTTTCCATGTTCCATTTCACAACTGGGAGGTTGAAACCTCCGATGTGGATAATATTTTGTGAAGAATTTTTAAGGTTTTTAAGGCAGCTGTCTTATCTGTTCTGTGAATTCCTTAGCAGTGCTGACTGTGGCTTTCATACCTGGACACTTACTTGATTCTTGTTCATCACTTTAGCACTTCTATTGTAACATTTGATTAGTTCATCAGTTCTGTGTATCACAGATGTCTTTCCTATAGTCCTACTCCTTGTTGTGACTTATTCTCTCACGTCTATAAATATTGAAACTATTCACACACATCTCATGCCCAACACTTGCCTTATATGTGTCTGTGAGGAGTCCACCTTGTAACTTTTGTTGTCAATCGAAGGGTTGCAGAAAGGATTTTTTTCCTTTTGGGAAGTTTGGTTTAGTGGAATTTTTAGATTTGTGAAATTAACATCTTGTAAACCTTTTGATGTATATAATTTTCCCCAGCCTTCCCAGTCAAAAATGTAATGTGACTTGCTTTATGTTTGTTACGTGTTTGAGGAACTGGTTCATGAGAGAATAGAAACTGCTGCCCTTTACTGATAGGCATATGTGCCCTTTACTGATAGAGCATACTGCTCCCCTTTACTGATAGAGCAACTGCTCCCCTTTACTGATAGGCTACTGCTGCCCTTTAGATAGAGCATACTGCTCCCCTTTACTGTAGAGCGTATTGATTTTCTCTGGGAAACAGTTGTGTTCCTGTGATAGAGCAGTTGTTTTCCCTGGTGATAGAGCAGTTGATGTTCTTGAGATGGAAAAAGGGGTTTTTTCCTACTGAAGAGATTTTGGACCCCATGCTGAAAGCATGTTATCCCATGCTGATAGGCATGTTATCCCTGCGATAGAGCATGAAAACCATGCTGAAGAGCATGTCCCCCATTGATAGGCAGTTACCCCATGTGATAGGATGTTACCCATCTGATAGAGATGTTTCCAAGTGATAGAGCATGTTATCCTTTGATAGGATGTTACCCCTGCTGATAGAGCATGTTCCCCCTGCTGATAGAGCATTTTTACCCCATGTGATAGAGCATGTTATCCCATGCTGATAGAGCATGTTATCCCATGCTGATAGAGCATGTTATCCCATGCTGATAGAGCATGTTATCTCATGCTGATAGAGCATGTTATCCCATGCTGATAGAGCATGTTATCCCATGCTGATAGAGCATGTTATCCCATGCTGATAGAGCATGTTATCCCATGCTGATAGAGCATGTTATCTCATGCTGATAGAGCATGTTATCCCATGCTGATAGAGCATGTTATCCCATGCTGATAGAGCATGTTATCCCATGCTGATAGAGCATGTTATCCCATGCTGATAGAGCATGTTATCCCACGCTGACAGAGTATGTTTGCGTCCACTCCTGATAGTGTTAGCATTATGGTGTGCCTTTCTGAGAGAGTTAGCTTGTTGGCAGGAGTGTAGGAGCTTCTGGACATAGCGTAATGTGTCATTCATGGAATACTAAGATGTCAGCCGCAGTGTGGGTCCACAAGGGCGTCAACAACACCTGCAACACCAACCCTCCTTCTCTGTCTGTCTAGCCGGAACTGCTGCTCACTGGAAGGCTGCTTTCCGTGAATCTTCCGTTCCATGCATAATTGTCTGCTGTAGCAAAAGATCAGTAGTTATCATTCTTGCTGCTTGATTATTCCATTATGTCAAGATTCCTCCTTTGTAGAACCTAGAGTGTGTTAACCAGTAAACCTTTTCCTGCCTCTGGAGTCACTACTACAATCATCATGATATACAGAGCCACGTCTACCTTCCTAGGCAGAATCTTTGTGAGCAAGCTGGGATTTTATAAATAGTTGGAAATTTGCCTAAACTTAATTATTAACACTATTTTTCAGAAATTTAGCCTCCAGTGATCCATAGCAACATAAAAGCACTACGAACTTATCCTGGACTAAATAATCTCAGCTGACTGAGACAGCAAACACGTGAGTGCCTGTGACGTATAAATGATACATGTCCGCTGATAAGATTACAACCCTTAACACTCAGCCAGCAACTTTGTGTTTCCTTTCTGCTCATCCACGTCCCGTGAGCTTGTCAAGCGCTACTGCAGCTCAGTCAAGTACCTTGCAACTTGTCGACATTCCCTCCTGTTTGCCCATGTCTTCGTGATAGTGTCGGAGCCTTGGAGATTATAGAGAAACGACAAAATAGACATTAAGGTGAGCAACAGCACCAGCGAGGAGGAGACCATGACAAGGAGATTGTGTTTAGTGGATGTAAGTGACGCACTTGTGTTATTACCATGGCTGGCCAGTGGAACTCTGGCCGCATTAGCACCCAGGGCCAAGGCTGCTTCCCACACCTTTTCCCCCCTCACATACACACTTTCAGTACGCAGGTACCCACCATAAGTACCTACTTTAAGACATCATTCCGCTTCCTGAACCTAAATAATTGATGATCACAGTGAAGGAGAGGCACATTGTAGAACAAGATCTGTGTAGAGCTTTATCAAGTGCCTATGAAGGAGAGTGGAGAGTGCCTATGAAGGAGAGTGGAGAGTGCCTATGAAGGAGAGTGGAGAGTGCCTATGAAGGAGAGTGGAGAGTGCCTGTGAAGGAGAGTGGAGAGTGCCTGTAAAGGAGAGTGGAGAGTGCCTATGAAGGAGAATGGAGAGTGCCTTAGAGAGGAGAGTGGAGAGTGCCTATGAAGGAGAGTGGAGAGTGCCTGTAAAGGAGAATGGAGAGTGCCTATGAAGGAGAATGGAGAGTGCCTATGAAGGAGAGTGGAGAGTGCCTATGAAGGAGAGTGGAGAGTGCCTATGAAGGAGAGTGGAGAGTGCCTGTGAAGGAGAGTGGAGAGTGCCTGTGAAGGAGAGTGGAGAGTGCCTGTGAAGGAGAGTGAGAGTGCCTGTGAAGGAGAGTGGAGAGTGCCTGTGAAGGAGAGTGGAGAGTGCCTGTGAAGGAGAGTGGAGAGTGCCTGTGAAGGAGAGTGGAGAGTGCCTGTGAAGGAGAGTGGAGAGTGCCTGTGAAGGAGAGTGGAGAGTGCCTATGAAGGAGAGTGGAGAGTGCATATGAAGGAGAGTGGAGAGTGCCTGTGAAGGAGAGTGGAGAGTGCCTGTAAAGGAGAGTGGAGAGTGCCTATGAAGGAGAGTGGAGAGTGCCTGTGAAGGAGAGTGGAGAGTGCCTGTGAAGGAGAGTGGAGAGTGCCTATGTGTATGGGTGGGTTACGACTGATTAAGTTAGTGATCTAGTCAAGCCATTAGTGGAATTCAGCCCAGAAACCTGACATCCTATTTCTAGATAACTGAATTCTTACCTCTGGTTCCCACAGGGCAGAGTAAGCCGGTTGCAGGTAGTTGTATCTCTGGAGAGCTGGAGGCTGTGGTAAGACCTCTCACACTGGTCAGCCCTAGATAAAGTACAAGAAAGGTTCATTTAATGATACTGTTAGCGCGTATTTACTGTCGTGGAGTGTGGGTTCTGTGTCGCTCCAGCGAGGAATCCTTGAGATACACAACTGTGAGTCACAATCTGCAACCATCTTGTAGCACCGAGGAAGACTGTTTTTTTTTTTTTAGCAAGTCGGTCGTCTCCCACCGAGGCAGGGTGACCCAAAAAGAAAGAAAATCCCCAAAAAGTAAATACTTTCATCATCATTCAACACTTTCACTACACTCACACATTATCACTGTTTTTGCAGAGGTGCTCAGAACACAACAGTTTAGAAGCATATACGTATAAAGATACACAACATATCTGTTATTGCTGTGAAATGTTATCTAATACGCATTGTAATGTGTTCTCGAATGTTAGAATATTTAACTGCACAAAGGCCTGTCATGGGATAAGTCGCCTAATTAACTAGGATGTTAATTAATCTGCATTGGGCAGAGTCTGGTCCCCCTCCTCACTCGTGAACGGCTTTTTTGTGACTGATGCCCAGGGTGCCTAACTTGGGTAAATGTGCCCTCATAGGCCTGGTCAAATGCCCGTTGTTGTCAGTTTGTGTAGGCTGTGAAAGATAACTGTTGATACTATACTATGTCTAACTCTAGCTTAGCTTAAAGATTTATAAATAGTAGTATTTTTACCTATAGAGGCTTCATTACTAAATTAGTCTTATAAATTAAGAGTGTATACAGAAATACAGCAACGTCGAGTAGGCTTACGTGGGTGACCATCTCGACTCATGTTAACTCAACCTTCCCTTTTCCAAAATACCTGGAGTCTAACAGTATGATATATCACCCAACTTCTAATTTCCCACAGCCTTTGAAGGAGAGTGCCTGTACTCACCTAAATGTACTCACCTAATTGTGGTTACAGGGGTCGAGATTCAGCTCCTGGCCCCGCCTATTCACTGACCTCTACTGGGTCCTCCCTCTCCTTGCTTCATGAGCTTTATCATACCTCGTCTTAAAACTATGTATAGTTCCTGCCTCCACTACATCACTTGCCAGACTATTTCACTTCCTAACAACTCTGTGGCTGAAGAAATACTTCCTAACATCTCTTTGGTTCATCTGAGTCTTCAACTTCCAATTGTGACTCATTGTTTCTGTGTCCCATCTCTGGAACATCCTGTCTCTGTCCACCTTGTCTATTCCATGCAGTATTTTATGTGTCGTTATCATGTCACCCCTGACTGTCCTATCCTCCAGTGTCGTCAGACCGATTTCCCTTAACCTTTCTTCGTAGAACATTTCCCTTAGCTCTGGAACCAGCCTTATTGCAAACCTTTGCACTTTCTTTAATTTCTTGACGTGCTTGACCAGGTGTGGGTTCCAAACTGGTGCTGCGTACTCCAGTATGGGCCTGACGTACAGAGTGTATAGAGTCTTGAACGATTCCTTACCGAGGTATCGGAACGTTATTCTCAGGTTTGACTTTTCATATGGTGGGGTTAAATTCTAGGAGCCAGTTACTGGACTACGCGTCCAGCCTGTCTAGGTCTCTTTGTAGACCTGTCTGGTCCGCATCTGATTTAATTCTCCTCATTAACTTCACATCATCTGCAAATAAACATTGTCCACATCGCTCCCGGGCCGTGCGGACAGGCTGCACAGTAGCTCCTGATTGAGTTGGCTTTTGCGCAGTTTTCCTGTTTTCACTTGGATTCAAAATGGCGGAACGTACAGGACGGAGAATAAATACTGTCTGCATTGAGCTGGTTCGTGGTACCTTAAGTGGCGCTACGATGAACGTCCTTCTCCCTGGCATCATCAGGGATGCATATGGTATTCCCAATGAGGAATTGTATGGCGTTGCTCTTAATGGTTTGACACGAATCTTCGTGAAATTTGTACGTGCCAGCTTCTACACAACAATTGTCGAGCATTACCAGGAATAACACGTGAGTGTGAATTCAGCAGTGGATGTCGTTTTACATGACGTCTCTAAGTACTTCACATGGGTGAAGGTACGAAATGTACCCTTCGAGGCTACGGCATATGGACTACAGGAGTTTTTCAGCAGTTATGGGACAGTGCATTCTGCAACCATGGGAGTGTGGAGGGATGGTGCATATGAAGGGATGCCAGAGGAAAGTTGTGTATTAGAGAGGATTCAACTAGACGGCGACTGTCTTCCCTACTTCCAACTCGAACAGTCGCCGTGTAGTTGAATCCTCTCTAATACACAACTTTCCTTGTATGAATCTTAGCCCTGGCTTCGTCTCTGTAGATGCCTTCCTCTCCCACTACATTGTAAAATGCTCCAAACTTCAGAACACCCGTGACTTAACCTGAATCCTCACTTTTTCTTTTTCTTTTTCTTCTTCCTCTTCCCCTTTCCTCTCTCCTTTTCTCCTCTGGGTTGTCTTTCTCTCTCCTGTCTCGTGTTTCTGTTCCTTCTTCATTTATTTTATTTCACCATTTTCCCCTTTCCACGCACCTCGGTGCGCTTGCTCTCCTCTGTGGGTTTCTAGCTCTCTTGCAGTGCTCCCCTTCCTTTGTATTTGACTGGCTCGTCTTCCTTATTTCCCACTTCTCCGCTACCACTCTACTACCTCTTCTTCTTCTACTACAACTACTGTTGAAATTAAGACACATATGCGGCGTCTGGTTGTCTTTGTTGTGGACGTTTCGCCATCCAGTGGCTGGCTGGATGGCGAAACGTGTACGATGGGGATGCCTGGGTGTTGTGCATGTGTCATTTCATCCTGTCGGTATTATATACAATTCTTGTACTAACTACTACTACTACTACTACTACTACTACTACTACTACTACTACTACTACTACTACTACTACTACTACTACCTCCACCTCTTCCTGCCTATATATAGCCGTCCTGCTCCACCTCTGTTAGTGTACTTTGTCAATGGTCCAAGTCGGACCGAAACGTCGTCGTAAGCTTCTCTCTTTTATGTGCGGGTTATTTGTGTATCGTTCCAGTCACGGTATTGTGCCTTTTTGTTATTTATTTATTTAGTTATTTAAAAGTTGTATGTGATTTTCTGTTTTTTTTCTTTTATTGTTATAAGAACCATTTTATATAGGAGTTATATTCATATGTATATGTGAGGATATGCTTTATGTATTCGAATCTGATGATAGCTTTATCCTTGTCATACGTCTTTTTTCTTATTGTATAATTGAAGGGGTATATTATGAACTATGTATGAGACTATATAAGTATTTTATGGGGTTTATATATACCCTTCTATTGGTATGGAAGGTCATATTATATATTGAATGTTAATCGGTAACATTAACTTTGTGTGTGTGTAGGTGTGTTTGTGGGAACCAGTGTCTGAGGTACAGTTCTATTATTGGATGTAATATATATCTAGTTTCTTTAGTGACAAGTTATTTGCGTATTATTTCTTGTATAATCCGGTTTGTTCTGTACAAACACATGTGCACATACACGTATGTGTGTATATGCATGTGTGTATATATATACATATATATATGTTTATAGGACTTATTTCTACATGTTTTATAATGACTCCGGCTGTTTGTTTGGAAGTCGGTATTTTTTTTTTTTCCATAAACTGGTTGGGTTTATTTCAGTAGAATTTTGTTATATCAGTGTGTTAAAATGTATTTTTTTTTTTTTTTGAATGTGTACTGACATTGTCTGGCACCGTTGCTTTTTTTTTTATTTGCTAATTGTCAGCTTGTGTTTTTTCTTATGGTTTATGTATCTGTTGCTTTTAAATAAAATATAAAACAAAAAATTCTCCTCATTAACTTCACATCATCTGCAAATAAGGACACTTCTGAGTCTATCCCTTCCATCATGTCATTCACATATACCAAGAATATCA